ATTTCTTTTGCCATATTGGTTTCTGTATTATCTATGTGGATGTTAAAATCTCCAGCAATAGCAAAACAGTCAAACTCTGAGGAAATTGTTGATAACAGTTCTGTAAAGTCCTCAGCAAAGGCTGAAGAGTATTTTGGAGGCCTGTAAAGAATAATAAGTAAAATGCGTGGAACGCCTTTTAACACAATACCCAGATATTCGAAAGACGGGTAATTACCAAATGATATTTGCTTACATTGATAGACATCCTTAAAAAGAGCAGCTAAGCCCCCGCCTCTCTTACAGCTCTGCAGACACTCATAAAAGTAAAGTTAGGAGGGGATGTTTCATTGAGGACTGTTGCACTGCAGCTGTCTTCTAGCCAGGTTTCATTTAGAAACATAAAATCCAGGTTGTATGTGGTTATTAAGTCATTGACTAGAAGTGATTTATTTTTAAGTGAGCGGATGTTTAAAAGTGCTAACTTAACAGTCTTACTTTTTGTCCCCACAGCAGTCTTAGTTTGGCGTGTGATAGGCACCAGATTAGATGAGTTTGCTGTACGGCTTTTGAATGCCTTAGACTTTCTATCATGTAATCGAATAGCAATAGAGGAAGATACAGGCACACTGGGTTCCCGCTTGTTATGTAAACATTTAAGAAAGTTACTGTTGTCATAGCGGAGACCCGACACATATCACTGAGAGCTGGTATCAGTTGTTTTTGGTTGACCTCGGGCCGCTGGAGGAGGGTGTGGGCCCTGGCGCTGTGGCAGAGGCCGAAGAGCTCTCACAGGAGGAGGGGGAGGGCGAGCTGGGCCCACAGGCTTTGGTGGATGTGGGGCCTGCTTTTTTGGTTGACATCTGGGGGCTTGCAGCAAAAGAGTGGGATAGTTTGGTTCCAGCAAACACCAGTTCTTCCATTTTTTCTGAGAAGCACAGAAGTGGAGATGCTGGAGATATAGAGAAAATGTGTCTGGTGAGATGGGCTGTTGCTCTGGTGTTATCGGTTGTAATATGCTGTCCAGGTTTCCCTGGCTGTTTTCCAGAAAGTCGTCCTTGGGTGCTAAATCTTGGAGCAGTTCTAATATGTCCCGGTCTGTCTGTGGAGAGCTCTCCTAGAGCTCTAGAGAACTACAGTTATTGCACCTGAGAGGACAAAAACAATTGAATTTCAGCCCATTTTTCCTCAGAGGGATTAAAAGGAGAGAAGAGGTGGGGCACAGGGTTACGCTCTCTGTAGTGTTTCAGGATGTGAGTCTTTCTGAATTATTCACAGCTATGGTCACTCCTCCAGCACGCACCACTTTACACCAGCATCTCCTGAGATTTACACACATGCTGCATTTCTTCTGTCCTCCCAGAAGTCACATTTTTTTCTGAGCTGCTCTTTAGTCAGAGACTTATTTTGTACTGCTCAGTCAGAAGGCTGCAACTGCAATAATGATTAAATCGAGAATTCATTTTCATTTCTATTCAGAACAATGGGCTCTATGCACTGCGGTATTTCCGGTGAAGGTCTAAGGATGCTGGATTACTTCCGCCGATCGTAGAGTCCAATGCTATACCGAGAATTTATATTGGTTTTTATACTCTATTGCTATAATAAAGAAACGTTAGTCACAAAAACAGACAAAACAGACACCCCTCATTTTGTTTATGCTTCTTTGTTTATTATATTAAATAAACATAACTATATATAAAATTACATCTAAACATATTAAAGTTTCGTTTCAAAGACGAGAGGACAGTTAATTTTGAAGACTCTGCCATAATCCCGTTTTCCTCGGTTTTCCTCCGCTTTAAATCTCCCCAACCGGAAACTGAAGAGCAGCCTTGCGTCAAATGCGGAACTTATGCGTGCATATAGCCTATTGCTCTCATTCTCATGGTAAAATCTAAACGTCCTTTCACACCAAGAACAGTACAAAAAGATAACCATAATAATAACTATATTAGCGTCCACACCAACGCACATCGTTCTGTTTATTCTAAGCTCAGTTTAGTCATCTGTCACTTTAAATGCTGGAGCTCTTTAAAGCAGAATGGATTCTGATTGGCTGTCAATGTTTTTATCGTTCATCAACTGGAAAAAAAAAATGGTTCTGAAAGTGATTCCAATCTCTGTGCCGTTATCATTATAGTTGTGTTGTGGACTCTATTATTCTTTAATATTAAAAACGATTTTTAGAACTATACCGTTATCATTATTATTATAGTTATCATCCTTGGTGTGAACGGGCCTTAAGGAGAACAAACAATACAAATATAATTATTTATTTGTATTTGATACTTTCTTGTTTTTGTTATGATAATGTTCTGTTTGGTTCGTTTCTGTCGTTTCTGTATTAGTTCTCATTAGTCTCTGGTTACTAATCAGTTAATACTCGTCCAGCTGTTCCCATTTAGTCCCCTTCATGTTCTGTGTATAAATACTTCCTGTTTGGTCCAGTTTGTTGTCGGTCATCATTGTGTTTGTGTTACCTGCTACCTTCCTGAGTATTCCAGTTTCCTGTTAAAGGACTATTTTGTGAGATTTCCTGTTTCAAGTCTCTTCTAAGACCAGAATGACTGACCTAACAAAGATGGATTTACAGGTCTTGCAGAGGCTCATCACCTACCAGAACAGCCCACTGGATGCAAGCTGCCCAGGACCTCTGCCTAATAGATATGTGGTACGTGGATCCATTTCCCTCCTGAGTCCCCACCCTTGAGTCTTCGCCTTCTACGTCAGTCCCGTCCGACTGCCTGTATACTCGGAGATCTTCCTCCTCTCATGTACCTGCCTGACTTCCTAGTCCCATCCCTTCCACTGGTTTTGTCCAGTTCCCTGGAACCGTCGGTGCCACTGGTGTCGTCCTGCTCCTCGGCCCTCCCCCGCCACTTACTCCGTGCGGCTCCCCGACTTCGCCTCGGGCTTCCTCTTGAGAGAGCTCAGCATGAGATCGAGTCCCCGGCTGCACCTCGGGCAGGTTAAGGTTAGAGTTAGGGTTGTCTCCACCTCCCATTTCGGCTTGTCAGCTCATCGGCTCCGCCCCGGGTCTTCGTTCCCTCGACTCCAACGTGCTCCGTCAGCCCTAGGACCCCTCCGGGCTCACTCGTCTCTCCGGATCAGCCTCGGCCAGTCATCGCTCTGCCTCAGCAAAGAACTTCCGTGTCTCCGGCTTCACCTGGACCCTCCACCCCTTTGGCTCCACCAGGCTTCTCCTTCGCTTCGGCTTTCCCGTCCATGCTCCCTCCGTCGTTGCCCCGGTCTGCCGTTCCCTGTCTCTGCCTCGGTCCCGCGAGCCAGCAGCTCCATCTAGGGCTTCCGGGCCACGGATGTCGCCCTAGTCTGTCAGCCTCTCTGCTCTGCAAAGGTGTCCATGAACCTTGTTTCTGCCTCCGTCAGTCGGTTCCCGGGTTCCGCATGGACATTCTGCCAAAAGCTTCACCCTGGCCCCTCCCACCGTCGGCTCCACCACATTGTCTGTTTCCGTCGGCTCCTCCAGGTCCCTGTCCATCGCCAGCTACACACCCACCTCCAAAGCCTCCCCTCTCTCTCCGCAGTGAGAGTTTCAGTTACGGTGCAAGGACACGACTTGCAGGAGGGGAGAGTTCTGTCACAATTATGTTCTGTTTGGTTCGTTCCTGACGTTTCTATATTAGTTCTCGTTTGTCTCGATGGTTACTAATCAGTTAATACTCGTCCAGCTGTTCCCATTTAGTCCCCTCATATTCCTTGTGTATAAATACTTCCTGTTTGGTTCAGGTTTTTGTCGGTCATTGTCAATGTTAGTTGTGTTTGTTACCTGCTACCTTCCTGAGTATTCGAGTTTCCTATGCAAGATTTCCTGTTTCAAGTCTCTTTGGATTTTAAGACCCGTGACAGTTTTTTTTTTTTTAAATTTTTTTATGGTTTTTGTTCTATTTTTGTTCTATTTGATGCAAGTGCTTTTGAGGAACTGTTTGCAAGAAGGGACATCTAATCTTTAGAGAATCTTCAGATTTTAGACTGCCAAAAGTATAAGAGTAAGAGTATATCAGAGTATGTTTGAGGAGCCTATTGACCACATGGTTTTGATATTTTATGATACTTTTACATTTTTTTATGAATTAATAGTTACTGTATAAATTTAGTTTAAAAAAAACCTAAAACATTTAAAATACAGATGTTGGAGAGTTCAACTTAAATTTTTCTTTACTTTATTTCTATAGATCAGCTTTTAGATGCCACATACACCCACATATGATCATCTTCGTGCGAGGGAGCCTCCCTCCAAAAAAATTAAAAATTGCTAATATTTTTATGTATAAAGACTCAATCTGTATATGAAACAATTTTATTAAAAACATGTTTCGAAAATTATTTGGAAAACGTTTGGTTTCTATTATGTTATATTATTACTGTATGTCTTTTTTACTTTACTGTTAGATTATTTATTTATTTATTAAATGTTATTTATTAAATACATTGTTATGTGTTCTAAATATACATAAATATGTGTTATGTATTTATTAAATTTAAATTTTAAATGTATTAAGTTTTTATTTGAAACTCTTTATTTAGTTATAATCCTATTTTATCATCTATTTATTTTTAGATTTGTTTTGTTTGTTTTTTCTAAACTTTTCCAGGGACCATCTTGTGGCCCCTGAGGGTCCCTGCAGTTAAAAAAAAAAACTGCTTTAGACAATACGCCTATTTCTTTTATTTTCAAACGCAGACTTCGTCTCAAAAATCGAAAACAGGTTGTGACACCAAATTCCATATAGACAACATTCCCAGCAGTAAGTTATGTGTGTGTGATATAATCAGCAACTTTTTCAGCTGGGCATTAACAAAGGATATGTTCGAAATGTATATATATTTTTTATTTAGTAAAGACTTTAAGGCATGTGTCTATATAGAAACTGATTTTAAAATAAATTACCCTGAGAAGTATTACTTGAGTAAAACGTGTGACAACTAGCCCCGGTGTGATTTTGCGGCATCAGGCCGGTGGGCGGAGCTTCTTCTAGTAGGTTAGAGAGCGAGCGAGAGTCTGACTGCTGCCACACTGCGCTCAGTGCAGCGATACGGACACACTGCTCAGTACTTCGCGTCTCTTATTAATGACACTGGGATTATTTCAGCGCTTTCCTGCAGGAGTGACAGTGAACTAAACAGAAAGACGCAGGTAGACCTCAGGAGACCCTCATTTAACGGGATTTAACGCGCGTTTTCTGCGCGCGTATAGCGAGTTGCGCCCCGTTGTGCGGACAAAGTTTATTTCTTCTTCACGGTCCCATATGAAGCCGGACCGGAGTTTGAATTAACACGCCAGTCAGAATATCGGCCTATCTATGTAAGTTATTACACAAGATATTTTTTTTAAATATGGTTATTCATGTTTTGCATGATGTCGATGCTAGTCTTTTGCATGGCAGGAGTTTATATCATAAATATATCATTGGCACTATTAATAGATCAGTCTGTTGAGGAGCTTTGCCAAAAACTTTATTCCTTTTTTCTTTTTCTTTTCTGTAGCTACACATTTATGTTTGAGCTCCTATATAGCCCATCATAGCAAACACTTTGTAGTCATTTATTTATTCATATCATAATAAATATGATTAGCCTACATTAAGCTAAATTATCCTAACCCTTAAATAATGTCATTCACCCAGGCTATAGAAATGTAATTAGCCCGGCTGATCTGTTAAGGATAGGCTGCCTACGTAGCTATTAACGATAACTGATTATTGTAAAGATTCTTACATTCTTACATGAAAAGTGAAAGTGCAGTTACATTAAGGAGTTTTTCCGACGAGCCTCAAAATGAGCTTTTACTTTATTTTTACTGTAGCTATTCGTTTAGCAAATCAAATAATATTTTTGACTAATAAAATCAAGATGTTACCACAAAAAAACTTTTCTTTTCTTTTCTTTCCCTCTGCTAGTGTCCCTCTGCAATCTTTTGTGTAAATGTTAGATGTTTGAGCCCTAAGTCAGCCTTATATGGAGTAATGTTCACTCTTCCTGACTGTTTTAAAGAAGTGAAGTAGCAAGTTTATTAACAACAACTGATGAACAAGCATCAAGTTAAACTTCAGAAGCTTAAAATCATTTGTTAAATTTGTTTTTATACAGTCTTTTAGAATCATCCTAATATGCTGATTTGATGCTTAAGAACCATTTATGATTATTATTATCAATGTTGAAAACAGTTGTACTGCTTTACTTTTTTGTGGAAACTGTAATAATTTTCATTTTTCAGGATTTTTTGATGTTTTGGATCAAAGAACAACTTTTATTTGAAAACGAAATATTTTGTGACATTATAATTGTCTTTACTTTTTTTGTTCATTTCAAAATTCAGATTTCAAAATAAAATCTTACTGACCCTAAACTTTTGAACAGTTGTATAGTGTATACCAGAGGTTCTCATCTCTGGCCTTCGAGGTCCACTTACGTTTACACGACCACGATGTACTAAAACGAAAAACTCTTCCTTTGCGTTTTTCGCGTACAGGGCGAAAACGTTGTCACGATCCCCATTCAAACAGATCTGTGACAACGCCAAAAACGTTGTATTATTCATGCCAGGCCAGTAGATGGCGATGTCGCTTTTTAAAGAAAAACTATACTCTACACCCTTGCCTCATTTAGTATATGCAGTTCTATGAATATGCAAATGAGCCCCTCCTCCACTCACTCGCACCAGCTCAGAGATCCACTCGTTGACGATCACACGTTGACCTGATTGGTTAAGGTAGTTTGTGACGTCAGAAACACCAGCGATTTCAAACCGTGTTTTTGAGACTGTCTTTCGTTCACTGCAGTTTTAAGGAGAAAATACTCAGCAATGGTGTCGACTTATGAATTTGCACATGGTTTGACTTAAAGCACATTAAAAACACATAGACATATTAACAACATTAAAAGCTTGATTTTCACCACAGGGGGACTTTAAGTCTTTAGTTGAAAACGGTGTAGTCTAACGCCACCTTAATTTCCAGCAGAGTTTAGCTCCAATAACCAAACACACCTGAACAAGCAAATCAAGGTCTTCAGGGTTACTAGAAAAGATGAGTTTGATCAAGGTTGGAGCTGAAGTCTGCAGGAAAGTGGATCTCGAGGGCCAGAGTTGAGGACCCCTGGTGTATATGAATGTTGTTGCATCAGAAAACAGGAATTGTGACTCTTACTGATTGCTAAATGTTAGTCGAAACATCCTGAAGACTGATCGGACAGTGTGTTTTATTGCTTCTTCCTCAGGTGACGGCACACAGAACCATGGTGAAAACCGTATGGAGATAGAGACATCCTCTTTCCAACAAGGGAAAAGGAACTGTTTCTCGTGACATCCTCTCTTCCCCCCCCCCCAAGCTCTCTTCTGGAAGCGTGTCCAATATTTAAACCCTTTTGTCCAGCATGGCATCCAGCCTGACGTGCACCGGGATGATCTGGGCTCTGCTGTCCCTGCTGAGCGCAGCAGCTTCATGCGTGGGCTTCTTCATGCCCTACTGGCTTCTGGGCTCACAGATGGATAAGCCGGTGTCCTTCGGCACTTTCCGGCGGTGCTCGTATCCTGTGCGGGACGAGGAGAGGCAGGCTACGGTCATGCTGGAGCAGTGCGGGCGCTACGCGAGCTTTCAGGGCATCCCGAGCGTGGAGTGGCGGATCTGTACGGTGGTGACGGGGGTGGGATGCGGCCTGCTGTTGCTGGTGGCGCTCACGGCGCTCATGGGCTGCTGCATATCAGAGCTCATCTCCAGAACCATTGGACGCGCAGCAGGGGGCATGCAGTTCCTCGGAGGTGAGTCAACCGACTGTCAGATATGTTTACATGGAGACAAGTTTAGGCTGAAACTCACAAACACACGTCCTGGGGGCTGTTCCATAAATGAAGCTTAGAAAAGCGGGGATTAAACTCCAAAACCGGACTTGAATGAGCCTAACAAATAAGTTGGGGCTAAAGTGGTTCCATAAAAGGTAATTGAAGTTCACGCAATCTCACTAATTTGATCCAGGTTTATCTAGTCTAGATAATTGCGTGTGCACGCGTTTCTGAAGCAGCCCTAGAGGTCGATCGTGGATCAAATCGATCCACCATCAAACAGCTATATTTTGTGCTGTTTTATGCGTTTGTGACATGTTTTTTCCCCCCTCAGTGCAAAAATGACATTTTACAGTTATATTCTCCATCTGTAAATGTTAGAAAGTCGTGCAAATGTATCCATTTTGCTGCTAATCTTCATATTGAACGAGCGCTGCTGCGCGCATGCGCGCCAAATAGGAGCGCAATAATTCTGACTAAAATATACATTTTGCTTGGAAAATTAATATGTGATATTTTATAACACTAGAAATATCTTCTAATTATAATAATTTCTCTTTAGGATGTTGGATAAGTTGCAGTGAACTTCTAGCTTATTACACTCATATATTTTATACTTCTAATAAAAAAAAAAGAAATTGAACAGAAGTAGCCTAATTGCAAGGGAAGATTTTTTTTTTAAGAAACTAAATATATAAAGATACAAAATATAGTTTTGGGTATAGGACCTATGCTACTTTATAAAGATGATATATACTTATTTAGAATGCTGAGAATTACAGCTTTTAATGCAATCATTTTTTTGAGAAAGCAAGAATCCCCAGTTTTAAATGAGTGGTTAGATTTAGTTTCTAAAGTACATTATGGAGAGGATAACATTAAATTAAGAACAAATGTATACATTTTGAAAAGATATGTGCAACTCTAAAATCAAAGAATATTCCATAAAATAAAGGAATATATATTGGCCTACATTAACTACATTTTTATGTAACCTTCCCTTTTATTTCTAGTTATTTGTTATTTTATTTATTTACTTATTTAATATTGAATATTTGATATTTAAATAATATTACCTGAATAACTATTAGGAATTATGTGTCATTCATTATAAGAGTTTGATATATGTGAATGTTATATTTTTATTAATATTTATTTATGGTTTTATTTATATATATGTGTTGGTATTATTACAAAAGAAAAAAAAGTAGAAGGAAAAATAAGGAATATTTATTGGGGGGAAATATGATGTCTTTAAAGGAACTGTCCATTTGTATAATTGTGTTAAATGTGTTTGAAAGACATAATAAAGTACATAAAATATATATATATATATATATATATATATATATATATATATATATATATATATATATATATATATGATAACCGAGGCACTCCTTAATTAAAATGTCTTTATTACAAAAATGACATGTCCTAAACGGACAACTTTAAAACGCCTTATATATGTGTCTATATTGTAGCCTTATTTAAGTTGATTTTCTGTATACTGTGTATTTATAAAGTCCAATAATGGTATTAGAGACTGTCAGTGGTAATATCATTGTGTTCTTGTCGGTCAGTGTTGAGGATCTGTGTAACAACTGAGGCTTAGCCTGACAGTTAGCCTGCCGTGGACCAGGCTAGTTTCCCAGCATAAGTTGCCAGGGTAACTGAGTTTGAACTTTTTTAAGTTTGATTTATGAAACCGAATCTACCAAAAATAAGCCCGACTAACCGAAATAAGCCTGGCTTATACTCTAATCTTGGTTTATGGAACAGCCCCCTGGTCACATTAGTTTGGGGTTTTTTTTCTTTCTCTCTCCACGATTATTCTCATTATTATAATTTTTTTTACTGAAACATATTTTCTTATTTCTGTCTTTTGATTTGAAGGTGATATTTGACTATTTCATGTATTTGAGAGGTTTTGGGAGATTTACACTATAACCGCTTTACAAGCATGCATGTTTATTGAAAATATTTAAACCTTTTTTATACTGTAAAGCCGATTTAAGTATTTATATTGATATTTGAAATAATAGGTTATAAGTAAGGTTATAAGTTTGTGATAGGTGAGCAATAATAGCAATCCTAAGTAAACTACAGATCAAACGTTTGGGGTTGATAATATTTTTTTGAGTCTCTTCTGCTCACCTGCATTTATTTGATAAAAAATACAGTGATATTGTAAATTATTATTATTCAAATTTAAAATAACTGGTTTCTATTTTAACTAGTGCTGGGAAACAATTAATCGCGATTATTAATTAATTATTCATTATTAATACACACAGATGCATGTATATTTGTAAAAAAAATGTGTTATTTATATATAAAATATTTATATTATATATGTTGTAAATTATGTATAAATATATATACATGCAAATATTTCTTAAATATTTACATATTTAAGAATTTGTTTTATTTATATATAACATATTTTTATATAATATAAATTATGTATAAATATATATATATATATACACACAGTATATACATGGAAATATTTCTTAAATCTATACATGCATATGTGTGTATGTATATATACAAAATAATAATACACAGTAAACACACATATATTATGTTAAAACAAACTTTTATTTTGGATGCAATTAATCATGATTAATCGTTGCCCAGCACTAAATTTAATATACTGTAAAATGTAATTTATTCCTGTGATCAAAGCTGAATTTTCAGCATCATTACTCCAGTCTTCAGTGTCACATGATCCTTCAGAAATCTTTCTCAAGAAACACTTCTGATTATTATCAACGTTGAAGACAGTTGTGCTGCTTCATATTTTTCTATCCTTGGTGAATTAAAGTTTTAATTCTTATTGACCTCAAACTTTTAATGGTAGTGTGCATTCTACACACAGACATAAGGATAACTGATTTATAAATTGACTTTGTGTGCGTTATAATGTTTCCAAAATTATACGATTAATAAATATCTCTTCTAACGTCTGTCAGGTGTAAACGACTGACAGAAGAGCACATGGCACACAGAAACAAACACACACACACACACACACACACCTACTGACAAACAGAGCACATGGCAGACAAACACACTCATCCGCCATGTGCTCAAACTGAAAACTATAGACACAAGACAGAAGTCATATTCATATCATGAGGTCATGAAGTACAAGCACCTTTTTCTTTGTCTGTAGTTCAGTGAACATCGATTCCAGCCGGTGTAATTCAGGGTGCCTTTGCCTCAGCGAGGAGAGAGGGAAGGGAAACTGATTGAGTTTAGACTGAAGGCTGGGGTCTGTAATTCCAAACTCAGTTTGTTTAGTTCTCGCCTGCGAGGTGCCTTTTATTTGCTGCTCTGATAGTCTTGAGGGCTCGTGGCACTCGACAGAGAAGGTGAAACAAATACTGCGTGGGGCGTCTTGGAAGGAAGTTTTCACTGCAGGGGCTCAAAGTGTGGAAAATTCTAGTCAGGCTCTTGGACTCATGATGTTTAAAAATGCTTTGTCTTCATGAACTCAGCTCATTTGTCTCTTCTGTCAGCCGAAGTGACAACAGCTCATCTTCATTCTCATTAGCTTAGTGTAAGTGCAAACGCACGTGCTAATTGCGTGTTTTTTTTAAAGACGACATGAAATTGAAATGGAGCCTATTTACTTTAATGCACATTCTTGGATTATTGTGTGCCGTTTATCATAAAAATGCTTGTCAAAAATGCAAAAACTTGCTCTGCCTCATGAATGATTTTGCTTTTCTTGAAGCTCAAACAGTGTTTACGACTTGCACGGCATTCGATGTATATACATTTTAACAGTTCATGCATTCCCTGGGAATCGAACCCATAACCTTGGTGTTGCTAGTTCCCATCATCTGCTTCCTTTCTGCTATAACGGCCTCTTTTTACTTTTGCTGATGGACACAATCAGCTTTGCTACATTTTTGTCTTGTTGAATATCCTGTTTCAATTGGAAATGCATTAAGAATGGGTTGCTAACATTGTTTCATGTTCTTAACTTTTAAGCATTCCGATCTTAAAATTGCGTAAAACCCCAGAAAGATTTACTTGATTGTTGTAGTTTCTTACTAAATGATGTGCTTCATATGGTTACTGTAAAAAAAAATTATGATCAATAATTTATAACAACATGTGTTTTCACATTAAAACAAACTGTGCAATTTTGTCAGTTAATGTAATTTAAGTTGAAATTACTTAAACATCCAAGTTGATTGTACTTAATTTAAGGCAGCAACTTTTATTCAAATGAAAAATATCACTGAATCAACTTAAAAACATTACGTTACACTAATACAACTTTTTACAGTTTGTTCCGAAGTTCTACCATTCAGGAACACAAGCAATGCATCTTAAAGCAGCTTTTCTGTTACAACTTAGTTTAGATTTTTTTTTAAATATATGCTTTTAAGTTGAACCAACAAGCTCAGCAGTTCAACTCAAACCGTTTGAGGAAACCGATTGCCTTAAATCATTTAAGTTTATTAACTCAAACAATTTAAGCTTAAAAAAATATTTGATTTGTGTTCAAGTAACTCAATAACTTATAATTAAGATACCTTGGGTAAATAAAGTTAATAGTACTAATTCCATTCAGTTAATATAACTTAAATCTATGAAGTACACTGTAAACCCAAATGAGTTGGCAGAACTCAAAATACTTTTATTAGTATAAACTTAGTCAGCTTAAAAAGCTAATCTGCTAACATGGTAAATGCTAACATATTAGCAATAGTATGTTATACAGAAATACTTGCTGTATGAGCACAGCAATATATAAATGGATTATTTGCTCTCAAATCAAGCTGCACGCACCACTTGTCACCATGATGGTAACTATCCTAAAGCCAACATTAACAGAAATTCTTCTAAATTAGCATAACAAAACATGAATCACTACTAAATCTCACACATAACATTAATCTTACACACAAAAAAACATTATATTACACTTAATTTTAGCATTTACTCTCCCTTTCGAG